TAGGAAAAACGAAAGAACAGTGAGATGAAACTACCCTATCGAAGGATTGCTCATTACGAATGGTGGATATGCAACCAACCGGATTAGGTCTTGCACCTAGGATCGATGGTGGCTCATGCGCAATCCGACTTTCTTCGATTACCCTTTTGCTAAAAATGTCATTAAAAATTGGTGATGAAACGAGACTGTAACACATTCATCCACTATAAAACACAACCAATCAACTCATTTATCATTGTGGAACATTCTTATCAATTGAAGTAACTATCAATATTTAAATGAGTCAAAAAATCCTATGCATAACTAGCGACCAATGCAAATGCGATCTGAGCTATTCAATTTCAGCAAAACTCATCGTTCACTCGAGATAAAATAATCGGAACTACTTACTCAGGACAAGGTCGTGACGATTGTGCCGTAGAAACCAGATCGGGAATTGCTAGACCAGCCGCGGCAGCCACCTGGAATAAAACTGGAATAAACTTCGGAAAAATACCCTTTACAGGTTTCAATGTTACCGTACACTTCTTTATTATTCGCAGAAATATCATCAGAAATTAACCGAAATATCACCAATTCGTTACTGAATATTAAAAAATGGCGAAATGAGGCTTAATTTGACGAAGAAGTAGGATAATAATCAATAATGAATAGTAAAGTTTGGATATTGGAATAGTTAAAAAAATGACTTGTTGTTTTACGTCATTTCGAATTTGTTCACGACGATTAACCAGTGACTGTCTTGGACCATAACGTTGAGATGGACGTCTTTCAAAGGTACTCAACTGACGTCTCGACAACCTTCCACCGTCCTTATGTACGTTCTCATATTCTGTTCGTCCTCTGTGAATTTACATTCATTCACAAAATTCACCATTATCTATTGTATCAATGTAATTTCATTCCCATCAAATGACTGTGAAAAAAGACCGCAGGAAGGTACTGGAATCAATAAGGTATTGTACTGGAAAAGTACCGGAAACTTGAAATCAATGAAAAAGTACTCGAACTCAAAAAGGTACTGGAATCAATGAAACGCGTAGCAAAGCAATTGATAACTATATTATTATCAAACGCTTTGCTAGGCGTTCCATCGCTAACATTTGTTCATCGTTTGAAGTGGATAAAATAAGCAATCGAATAAGAAACGACATGAAATGCTAACCGATATTTGAACGTACTTCCCAAACGAAACAACTGCGG